TAGAGTGCTATGGCATCACAGCTCACAGCAACCTCAAACTCTTGGGCTTAAGTGATTCTCTTGCTTCAGCCTCCCAAGTAGCTAGAACCACAGGCACTTGCCACAACACCTGGCTTTTTTTTTACTTTTTGGTTGTAGTTGTCATTATTGATTGGCAGGCCTGGGCTGGATTTAAACCTACCAGCTCCAGTGTAATGTGGCTGGTGCCCTAGCCACTGAGCTACAGGTGCCAAGCCTAGATTTTTTTTTTTTTAATTTTTAGAGACAGGATCTTGCTCTGTTGCCCAGGCTAGAATGCAGTGGCATGATTATAGCTCACTGTACCCTCAAATTCCTAGGTTCAAGAAATCCTCTCACCTCAGTCTCCTAAGAAGCTGGGACTTACAGGTGTGTGCTACTGTGCCTGGCTAATATTTTTATTTTTTATTTTTGGAGAAAAGGGTTAGTCTCACTACATTGCCCAGGCTGGTCTTGAACTCCTGACCTCACACTATCCTCCTGCCTCAGCTTCCTGAGGATTACTGCCTGGGATTATAGGCATAGTCCAGTTCATTCTATTGTGTTTGCTTTTTTTCAGGTTATCACACAAAGTTTTGATCATTCTATTTTGCTGAAGGCTTAAGATACTCTTGCCAATGAGGAGCTAAATTAATTCAAAATAATCTTCAAGTAAACCAATAAATAATCAAGATGTATTTCTCCTAGAAGATAACTGATTGGCTACATATACTGTTTTTCTGAAAGACCATATTTTTTTTTAACTGCCTTTTAATTAATTAAAAAAACTTTACCAACACTCAAGAGGACTATGCTAAAACAATTTTAAACTAAGTTAAGCTATCCAGAAAACTTTCACGTACTATACTTTGAGCGGTTATAAATTTATGCTACTGGCTCGGCACCTGTAGCTCAAGTGGCTAAGGTGCCAGCCACATACACCTAAGGTGGCGGGTTCGAATCAAGCCCTGGCCACCAAAGAACAATGACGGCTGCAACCAAATAAAAAAAAAAATAGCCGGGCACTGTGGCGGGTGCCTGTGGTCCCAGCTACTTGGGAGGCAGAGGCAGGAGACTCGCTTGAGCCCAGGAGTTAGAGGTCGCTGTGAGCTGTGATGCTATAGCACTCTGCCCAGGGGGACAGCTTGAGACTCTGTCTCAAGAAAAAAAAAATTATGCTACTGATTCTACAAACAAAACGTGAAAATATACATATCTTAAGTAATTACTTATTCAACTAGCTTATCTAAGAGAAAAAAGCAAAACATCATGTAGCACCTATAAGTGTCAAAAACACTGCTACAAAACACATCAAATTCCTGTCTGGACAATGAGATTAATGCAGATATTGCTATCCAACCTAAGGAAAGGACATATGTAACCTGTGACACTAATAATACCTTCCTTGTAAGAGATACATAGAAATCATTTTTATCCTGATGCATGGATCCCATTCCCTATAACCATATTCCAAATTTACATAAAGATTTGGCCAATAGCCCCTCATACTGAAATTTACAAAATGTAATATATTGCCAATAGTAATAAAACCACCTTACTACTTTGGGTGGCACTTTACTACTATTAAGCTCATCACATTTGAGACCTACAATAATCCTTTTAGGTGGCTGGTCCAAAGATAGTAAGTTATCTCACTTGATTGTTCAGTCAGTTACAGATTGAGCTCATTATTCTACTCTGCCCCCTTCTCATCACTGCGTTTTTTTTTGTTTGTTTGTTTTTGGCCAGGGCCAGGTTTGACCCTGCCACCTCCAGTACATGGGGCTGGCGCCCTACTCCTTTGAGCCACAGGCGCCACCCAGCACTTGAAAAAAAAAAAAAAAGAAAGAAAAAAGTAGAATGAATTAGTTTCATTGTCTGTAAAGCAAAGCAGGCAGATAATACTAAAGGTTTTCAAATTCTTTACACGTCAGACGTTTAGTGGTTCTAACAAATACACCTCTTAGACCAGAGTCAGGGAGAAATAAAGTGGAGATTATCATCTTCCATCCTAACTTCAACTCATGGAACGCTCATCATCTCTTTTATATTTTGAACTTATGAGCAACATTTTTAAGAAAGCCTTGCACAGCTTAGATAGATTGTACGTGTATCCCTTCTAGCTCTCATTTTACAGTAAGCACAGTGAGGACAAATGTGCTAGACAAGATCAAAGACAGGAAATGCAAAGGACTCAGGTGGACTCCGATGTGGTTTCATTCTTCCTTCTGTACCATACTTCATAGACGTCCTCCATAAACTAACACGAGCTTTTTAAAAAATCACAACTGTCATCATTGAAGCATTTCCTTCACTTAAAACAAAGTCACAACTTTGTCAGAAAGGAAACACGTGCAAAAATAGGCAGAGTTTATTTCACTTCAATTCGATTTTGATAAAGTAAGAACATTTTAAATATGGAAAATAAATAAAAATGTTTACCTCTTCTGGAAATTCTTCACTGACCAGAGACATAATCAGTGATGTCTTCCCAACTCTAGCTGTGAAAAGAAAAATCATTACTTTAATAAAGTATTTAGATTCTACATAAGCTTAAATTCTGCAATCACACAAAGAAGTCTGTATTTGTTACCTAAACTCAAATGAATCCAAATTACTAAGTTTAGTACAACACCTGTATTTTTTCTGCTTAGAAAAGTAAAACTGTACTCACTGGCGTGGTGAATCACACCTGTAATCCAATCACTCTGGGAGGTCAACGCAAGAGGATCACTTGAACTCAGGAGTTAAGAGACCTGAGTAAGGGTAAGAGTGAGACCCCATCTTAACTGAAAATAAAAAAACTAGCTGGATGCAGATGCAGTCCTAGCTACTCAGGAGGCTGAGGAAGAAAAATCACTTGAGCCCAGGCTAGGATGACACCACTGCATTCTAGCCAGGGTCACAGAGCAAGACTCTATCTGAAAAAAAAAAAAAAAAAAAAAAAAAAAAGTAACACATTCATTGTTTTCTTTTTTTTTTTTTTAATTTTAATTTTTCTTTTTTGGAGACAGAATCTCACTTTCTCTTTCTCAGTAGAGTGCCGGGGCATCTCAGCTCACAGAAACGTCAAATTCTTGGGCTCAAGCAATTCTCTTGCCTTAACCTCCTGAGTACTGGGACTACAGGCACCTGCTACAACGTCAGACTATTTTTCGAGACAAGGTCTCACTCTGGCTCATGCTGGTCTCGAACTGGTGAGCTCAGGCAATCCACCCTCCTTGACCTCCCAGAGTGCTAGGATTATAGGCATGAGCCAGCTTGCCTGGCCTATCGTTTTCAAAAAAGATTAATAAAATACATACTGTGAACGTAAAAGTCTCCCATTAAATCCCCCAGTAACAGTTTAGTACATATATTCTTATGGATTTTTCCTATGTTAACTTATAATAATTTACTACAGTGGAATCACAGTATTCATACTACTATGCGATTCTTCTTTATCACCTAATTATGCATATCTCTTGGGAAGGGAGAAAGGGTTACTGCTTAATGGGTATAGAGTTTTTGATGGGGATGATGAAAAAGTTTTAGGTACAAATAGTGGTGGCAGTTAAATACACTATGAATGTATTTAATGCCACTGAATTGGCTCAGCACCTGTGGGTCAAGTGGCTAAGGTGCCAGCCACATACACCTAAGGTGGTGGATTCGAATCCAGCCCAGGCCTGCCAAACAACAATGATGGCTGCAACCAAAAAATAGTCGGGCGTTGTGGCGGGTGCCTGTGGTCCCAGCTACTTGGGAGGCTGAGGCAGGAGACTCGCTTAAGCCCAGGAGTTGGAGGTTGCTGTGAGCTGTGATGCTATGGCACTCTGCCCAGGGGGACAGCTTGAGGCTATCTCAAAAAAAAGAAAAATGCCACTGAATTGTACACTTATGAATAGTTAAAATGATAAATATTATATTATATATATTTAGCTCAATTTTTAAAAATAACAATAGTAAACTCATTTTATATTGGCATTAAAAAACTTCTGCATTACTTTTAAAGGTTGTGTGAGACTCCATTATATGATGTATTATAATTTATTAATATAATCTCCTAACAATGAATATTTGGGTTGTTTATAAGTATTCACTTTTACAAATGATGCCACAATTAGTATTTCTACAGGATAAATTCTCAGAAGTAGATCTTAAGTCAGCGCACATGATCCTTTTGTTTTTAACAAACATTGGTAAACTATCTCCCAAAAAGAATAAACCAGTTTACATCCTCACCAACAGACTATCAGAGTTCCTATTTCCCTATATCCCTATATTCTTTGTTTCCTAAGAGTATTATATTTAGGCCAGGCGTACTGGCTCATGCCTCTAATTCTAGCACTCTAAGAAGCTGAGGTGAGAGGATCACTTGAGCTTCGAAGGAGTCTGAGGCCAGCCTGAGCAAACATGTCTCTATTAAAAACAGAAAAACATTAGCCAGATGTCATGATGTGTGCCTGTAGTCCTAGGAGGATTGTTGCAGTGAGCTATGATCACAGCACTCCACTCTAGCAGAGCAACACTCAGTACTCCCCCAAAGGTATTGTATTTAAAGAGTTAGAAGAAACTTCCCTGTTACATGTTCTATCCTAGAAATTTAATATACAAACTTTGAATTACTAATTTCTATTATAAAAGTTGCCTATCACTTTCTAATCATACAATTACAACTGATACACATTTAACTGCTTATCAACTAAATGCTTTCATGATTCTAGAGGAAAACAGTCCACCGCCCTATTGATCTCTGCCATAACAGCAAATGATAGTTTCCAAAATTAAAGTCTAAATAGAAAAGAAATGAACATTTTCAGAGTTAAGAAAAGTTACATTCCCTTCTTTTTTTTTTTTTTAAAGAGACAGAGTCTTACTTTGTTGCCCTCGGTAGAGTGCCGAGGTGTCACAGCTCACTGCAACCTCCAGCTCTTAGGCTTAGGCAATTCTCTTGTCTCAGACTCCTGAGTAGCTGGGACCACAGGCACCCGCCATAACACCCAGCTATTTTTTGTTGCAGTTTGGCTGGGACAGGGTTTGAACTTGCCACCTCGGTATATGGGGCCGGCACCCTACTCACTGAGCCACAGGCGCCACCCACATTCCCTTCTTAAATGATTAAAAGAAAGAGTAAAAACACAAGTCAAGTCTCTGGGAAAATAAAAAGTGGCTGGCACACAGGAAGGAGAGTCTGAACAACTTAGAGAGCGCTGTGACCAGGGAGCACTGTTGGTATTACACAACTTAGAGAGCGCTGTGACCAGGGAGCACTGTTGGTATTACACAACTTAGAGAGCGCTGTGAACAGGGAGCACTGCCGGTATAACACAACTTAGCGCGCGCTGTGAACAGGGAGCACTGCTGGTATAACACAACTTAGCGCTACGAACAGGGAGCACTGCTGGTATAAAACAACTTAGAGAGCGCTGTGAACAGGGAGCACTGCAGGTATAACACAACTTAGCGCTATGAATAGGGAGCACCACTGGTAATAACACAACTTAGAGAGCGCTGTGAACAGGGAGCACTGCTGGTATAAAACAACTTAGCACTGTGAACAGGGAGCACTGCCGGTATAACACAACTTAGCGCTATGAACAGGGAGCACTGCTGGTATAACACAACTTAGCACTACGAACAGGGAGCACTGCT